GAGCTGGTGCCGGGGTCCCAAGCTTCGGCTGGCCGTCCTTTCGTAACCGGGACGAATGATTGCCGCAGCGAAATGACCATGTTTTGCAGCACACCGGGGGTTGGTTGACTTATAGCAGTGATGACAACTTACGCATGATGTGGAAGTGCATTCCCAAACCTGATGACCTGCAAATGGGCCAAAGCACTACCTTGGCCAAAAGGAAGCACCATTTTGGTGAAAGTGTTTGATGGGTATAAGTAGAAGCCCAGAGAATGTGTCCTTGTGCAAGTGAAGGAAGCCAATAGGAAACTTGGTTAAGCCCAGCATTCGCCACCAATGGACCGAGTTTGCCTTGTTGGGGTTGTTGTAAATGTAATATCAGCGAAAAGCCGATCAGTCTGCGGGCCCGGGTCGTTTTACAGGGAAGGACCATTCAGTTTGGGGGTTCCTCAATTTGAGACAAGCCCAGATCAACCCCGGACTTGGATCAATGACACACACCGGAAAGTGTTTGAATGGGTTGTCTCTTTGGAGTGGATTGCTTGTTTGAAGTGGGATCTGACTTTATGTCAGTGGGCAAGCTCAGGTTAACGTTGCGATGTTCCTGGTCAACCCGCGTAAACTAGCCATGAGTTCACCACCTTTGCACCCAGATGACAGCAATACACGGATAATACTCCATGAATCCAAAGTTGTTGGCGGGTTAGTCACATCACTACTTTTCGGATCCGGGGAATATGAGATTGGAGGGTCAACAAATCTGCCCCACCCCTCAATGGCCTTGTCCCCTTAACGGTCCAGTGCGAGCGAGATTTGCTTGCACGCGTTTTGCTTCGGTGAATGCCCCTGCGGTTAAAACAAGTACACGAACCATACGGAGAGAAGAACAAGCATCATGGTGAGTTGCGGTAACATGGGGATTGGTGTCCTTGTTCCTGTAGCTTGCCATGATTTGTTGCTTAATAAGTGGTTTCCCGGGCTTCCATTTTTGCCATGGTTCTGTGGTTCACTGTTGGTTTCCAAAGCCAAGCAGCGCGCCCACATCCACCTTCCCGCCTATGCCACCCACCTCTCCACCGCTTGCTTGAGGTCTGGGCTGATGCGGCTGAGAGGGGATCTCAACAAGGTGGACATTGTGATCACGCAGATGGCCTTGGAAGGTCTGCAGAAGCGGCAGAACAGCCTGGCGCACCTCGGAGTGAGATGTGGGAAGGAGAAACCGAGGGAAATCCAGCGTTTCTGTTGCAGAAAAACGACCCCCAAAATGGGTGGATGTTCCCTGGGGTGTCCCTTTTATTCCAACCTTAAAAGGGTGCCGAGCCTTAAAGCAACACACACACACACAAATTGAGCTTGTGAAGGGCTTGAAACAAGCCGGAAGACTCACTGAAGTGGTTGCTTCAGAGGGACTGAACAAGCATTGAGCTACGGGGCAGAATGACACAGAGACCAGTTGTATTTCAATGCGGCTCGTTGGGAAGGAACTCAGTCTGGCTTGTGAAAGCATCTGAGGACCCGAATCTCGGTGCCTCGGAATGCAAATGGGACTGCGCCTGGCTGAGAGCCACAAGTTTGGAGGGATCACCCGTGGCAATCCGTCTTTTTCTCACAGGTGCTCTCATGTTTCGTGGCACACCGTTGCAGGGCCTCCCAATTGGGATAGAATCAGGTTGTCCGCCCTGCTTATTTGGGCAATCCAGCATTTGGGGGCCGAGTGTTCCGTACCTTTGGACCCGCGAGTTCCCATGGTCTTTGCGACCTGTTTATCTGAGGATCTCCATGAGGGACACATGAAGCTTTTCCATTTGATGCACGGCACGTGATCGCCGAATCTGACCTCCAAAGGAGGGGCACGTAGGAGAGCGCGCAGCGGCTTCCCTTCAGCTGACTGGTGCCCCACGGTTGAGCCTGATTCAGTGTGCCGCCGGACGTGGCTCCTGTGGGGCTACCAGTAATGAGCTGAATGACATGAGCAGACTGAGAAAGGATTGCATGCACAGACTGACGTTCACGGGTGAAAGTAACATTACTGCAGAGCTGTGTTGGATCGCGTCTTCACAAAATTGAAGAATCAAGGCAGATGGAATCACCAGGCAACTGCGGCGCTAGCCAAATTGGACTGACAGATGTGTGCGTTGCACAAGAGAGATGTCCTACAGCTTTGTTCACAGCTTCTTTTTGTTCACTTTGTTCAGGCGCAACACTATATATATACACACTAATATATATATATATGCACACACTGCACTTGAATCAATCCCATCACCTAGATCCCTCGATGCAGTCCCATGCTATGCCTCAACGCGCCCTATGCCAAACCCGGACAATTGACGCCCAGCCCTGCGCTTGCATAAGAATTTGTCCAAGTCAGAGACCGAAGGTACAGACTTGGTTCCGCATTGCATGCCGCCGAATTTGTGGCACAGCCAGGAACTAGTGTCCTTTGACTCCCCAGACATTGGGCTAAATTGCAAGTATACAAAACCCTTTGGTGGATATGATTCAATTGAGGATTTGAACATAAATATCCACCCGCCAAATTTTGAGGGAGTTCCTTACTAGTTTAACAGTTTGGGCTTGTGTCCAAACGGATGGTTTCGTTTTGAATTCGGATTGAATCCACCCCAAAAGCGGAGACCCTGGAATAAAGTCGACAAAATTACGAGCTCTTTTGCGTGGCTGCGCCGAAGGATATCTCGAGTCTTCTCAGCGCAGCTCTAAAGTCAGAAGCTGGATCAGGCTTCGAGATCTGAGTCGGAAAACTTTGGGTGAGTCCGGTCGCGAGTTTCATCCCGCTTCGGCAGCTTGGGACTGGTTTCCTCCTATCTCAGCCCAGTTGGTTTATCCTGAGTGTTGCCATGGTTTCTGTGAATTCTTAGAACATGCTGAAGGACAGTTGCAACTCTTCACCTAGAGGAGTTGGGCGGACCATCCCCGTGAAGAATCAGTTGAGGCACTTGAAAAAGGATGAGAGAGGGCCGCTGGTGGTCTTTGATTTGTTGGGCCTCCATCCCCTTAACTTCCCAGCAAACATATGAAAGACCCCTGTCCACTTCAATGCTTGTTGGATCATTGCTTCAATCCTCAATCCATCCCTTGGGTTACGAAAGCATTGGGTCCTATTTGTACTTGGGATCATGGAGGGTGGGCGAACCCTCCATCTTGAAAAGCCGAGGCTCAGATGCCTTGTGTTAATAGTTAGCCAAGATCATGGAGAGCTCCATCAGCAAACATTGTAGCCCGATTGTTTGACCTTTCTTATTTGGCCCACTGGAGGACACCGAGCATTAATTAGCAGTACCCTCCCGAACAATATGTCAGTGAGCCCAACTGGCATTCCAGGGTTTGTTGTTCCCTTTGCAAAGCTCTATCCTCCAAAGAGGATCAAGTTGCCTGGGCGCATCAGCAATTTGCAACTCTCGTTGATGGTCGCAGGGTCATCACCCAGAGGAGTTTTTGCCAAGTGCAGGATACGTGAGACAAGGCGCTAAGAAATCCAATCATGTGCACTCAACCCCAGTGCGAGGCTATTGGCTATGACCCCTAAATCCGGCATCGACTTGCCATATCAGAAGGGCCAGGTACTGTCCAACAAACGGACCAATTCGTTTGGTACCAGAATCATGTGTGTGACTTCACAGACTGGATCAAAGGCAGGTCGGCAGATCTCGTTTTTTGGCTGGCGATGACTTGGAATGCTTAAGGTATGGCCTTGAATCGGTCGTCGGTTGGTCGGTCGGACTGAGAATGCAGTGACCCCAAATGGACTTGTATTGCTCCAGGTCATTGTGTGTGTGTGTGTGTGGCAGCGGCAGATCACCCATCATACCTATCAAATTCCTTTGGGTTTTGGACCATCAAAATGATACAATGTTCCAAATCCTTTTGCCTATGATGTCCCTCAATCCCCACCCATGAAAAGCGACTGAGGAAGCGAGCCGGACATGATGGCCGTCCGTGTCCCAGAGGGAGTCAGGGAACCAGAATAAATTCAACGTGAACAGTTCGCAGGGCCGTTGAAGCCAGATCGACAGGAACAGAGGCACCTCTCCTGCTTATTGAATAAGCAGACCTCACGGCATGAGAGAGCAAAAAGTGCGCATAAAGGTTCCACTGTTGGATTTTTTGACGGCATGAAATCAGGCCATCTCGCCAAGAACATGCCCCTCACTCAATACTTTGTTCAACCCTCGATGCACTTCAGGTTGCTCACGCAATTTTATTCTCATGGGGTGGCATGAAAATGTGGAGTCCCGCCTTTGCAGTGATAACGTTTCTTGGTGCAGTAAGCGATCCCATGCTGAAATGCCGACAAAAGGCTTAGAGCGCCTGACACTTGTCAAGACTCTGACTGAACGGATTACCACCTCTTACTTTCTGAGTTCCTGGACTTGTTTCTTTTCGGAAGGCCGTATCAGTGTTAGGGTTAGTCAGGGTTATTCGGGTTAGTGGGCTTAGGGTTGGCGAACCTCTGGCGCAATTTTGGTTATAACCTGTCACTGGCATTGCCCAGGCACTGACAACAGTGATTGACCACGCAGGCCTGGGACGACGTCACCAGGTGGATGTCCCTTCCATTAAACCAAGTAAACCAACCACAGAACAATAACCACCAAATCATATGGAAAGTTAGGTTAACTTAGAGCACCGATTTAGCTGTTCCCTTGCTTGCAACATTTTCTTGCATCCCACCGGAGCATGGGCTGGTTCCTTTTGGTTTCCACTTAAACCAACCAAGCTTGAAGGGGTGCCTTTAAACACCAATCATAATATGGGGATGTCTTTCTTTAGGGAAGCCCCTTTTGGTTGGATTTACAAGGAAACAAACAGGACTCCCTTCGTTTTGCGCAGAGTGTTGCGGCGACCTATTGTCTTGACTCCTGACACTCTCAATCCCTTACATCCTGGGCCCCTTGTTATCTCAATTTCGGCTCTTGTTATCTCAATTTCCCCAGTGTTCCTTTGGTGGGTTAATGGAAGGTCAGATGAAACCGCCGGCAGAATCTCATGATTTTCTGTTCGTGGTGGTAGACCTCTCGACAGCGCTGGCACAGAGAGGATAGTGGTTTGGTTCGCGCACAGACATGCCTGTGCGGATTGGTTCCCTTGCTGTGTGCGGCTTGGTTCTCTTTTGCTTCTCCGCCTTTCGGAGGACGTGTGTGTCTGTGTGTTTGGCGTATTTGGTGTGTTTGTGTGAGCGTGTTTGTTTGTGTGTGTGTGTGTGTGTGTTTTTGCTTGTGTGTTGTGTGTGTGTGTGTGTGTGTGTGTGTGTGTGTGTGTGTTGTGTGTGTGTGTGTGTGTGTGTGTGTGTGTGTGTGTGTGTGTGTGTGTGTGTGTGTGTGTGTGTGTGTGTGTGTGTGTGTGTGTGTGTGTTTGTGTGTGTTTGTGTGTGTGTGTGTGTGCGTGTGTGCGTGTGTGCGTGGGTGCGTGCGTGCGTGTGTGCGTGCGTGCGTGGGTGTGTGTGTGTGTGTGCGTGTGTGGGTGGGTGGGTGTGTGCGTGCGTGCGCGCGTGTGGGTGCGTTTGTTTTTGTGTCTGCGCTTCTGGTTGTTTGTTTGTTTGCGTTTGGTTGTGTGTGTGTGTTTTGTAATTGTTTTTTGTGGATGGCAACACACGCAAATGTTGGAACTTGTTAGCCTTGCACACGCAAAGCAACAGCAACAACGGCGGCGCAGGCAATTTGGCCTCACCAGCCCGGACCACGTGCCTGGCCCAGTCTTGGTCAAGGTCAGAACACCAAAATCGGGCCCCAAAGGTAGGACCCCTCTGTCACAGGGCACCTTTCAACATGGGCTTTACAAGGTCGCCTTTGTTTGTTCCTGCAGAGAGGGAACCCAATTTGAGGCGAACTGACTTGTGGTTTGGAGGCAATGGTATTGGGTTAGCGTATTTTCAGAGAGGGGATCATGTTCGATTTGTGTATGTGTGCATGTCTTGCTATTGTTAGCAGCTCATTTGCTGCACGAGTCATCCGGCTTGCGCATGAGATGTAATGATAAGTGCTGGTCACTGTGTTGAGGGCTGGTGTTTCCATGACTTGGTTTTCCTGTCGGGCGTTTCGCTTCACTTCGCCAATTCTGTTCTACCCAGCTTTTTGTTCTTCTGCTCAATGAAGAAATCAGACAATGGTGCCAACCTGTTGCGGATCCACTACATCCTGCGTCAGAACCAATTTGTTTGGTTGATGAAGTATTATTCAACCGTGCAATGGAGATCCCTTTCCGCTGGTGGAGGATCCCTTCTGATGCTCAGGCAGCACTGTTTTGCGGTATTGCTGGCATGAGAGAACATCCGATGTTATTCTCACTTCCTGAGTTCCTGGACTTTATTGTATTGCTTTGGGTAAGACAATTTTAGCGGTATATACACAGTTTCGACTTTTTTGGCCAATCCACTCAGGAAGTGAGTATTTGCCGCTTGTTTCCATGAAACGCAGGACCTGGAACTGAGATGCCTGACATGCCGATAGCAAGACTCAAGCTACTAACACAATGCCCCGGCTTTTAACTCGCTTTAGGGGCATCTACCTCCCGAGCATGGAACCAAAAGGGTTCCCCGAAAGGAGATACCTCTAAAATGAAGCGTTTGCCCATGTTAGGCGAGTCTGGCCCTTTCAACAGCTGCACACCCAGGAGCCACAATCAAGACACAAATATACATCTAGCCTTTGAATTCTATTTATGGGAGGGTTCGCCACTCAAAACAGGGCTCACCAAGTTTCTTTGTCAAGGTTCAAACCTGTTTGGCCCATTCAATGAAGCCGAATGAAAACGGGAATAGAGCAAATACACAACCGGTGCACCGGTGCAGGATCTCGTGCATCCTCCAGCAAGTTGTTTTTGCCTTGAAGCAGCCCACACCTTGATATGCTGCATGCGTCAACGCAACCTTTTCCCAATGCGGAGTAAATCTGCACTCGGATTTGATTTACCAATATTGTGCCCGGATCATCTTCTAGCAAGACACTCAGTTCCTGTTGTACGCGCCCAGGTTTTGCAAGAGGATCTTGCTGGATTGCAAGATTCATTGTTTTCATTTGAACGTCCAGAGCGCCAAAGCTAGGCCGAATCTTTACTTGTTGCTGAAGGAGGTTGGAGTTATTCGTTGGAGCTTGTTGGACCCAATGTGGAGACAAGCATTGGGCTGAGGCCTTCCAAGCTTCCTTTCTGATGCATTGCTTCTTTTCAGTTCTCCCATGGTTCCGTGCTAGGACCAGCCTGATGACATTCGAGGGAACTCCGGTGCCTACCCAGGCGCTACCGACGATATCAGACAGGTTGCGTTCTTGGTTTCCCGCATGGGTTGGCAACCGCCTTCGCTTTTCGAGGAAGCAGACCACCGGTGCCACAGATTGCTTTGGGCAAAGCAGGCCGCATTGGTGGTGCCAGTGGAACGTTGATTTGTGCAGGAGAAGTGGCATCCTTGGGTTTTCCGGGTGTAACGCGTGCGGAGGGCCGACA